ACCGTGGGGTTGTCATCTCCAACCCTGGACTAGGAATTCCAAATGGGTTGTGCACACAGGGTACACTAAATTAGAAGGGTTGCAGCCACGGGGTGGGGAGCGTCTGTAAAGCCTACAGGGAGAGGAGCAAACTGGGTTAAAAAAAACACACCAAAACTACAAAAGAGCAAAATGAGATAATCAGAAAATAACTAGGTAAGATACTCAAGTGAGAGAGTGGTGTGAAGCCTTCCTCACGTTCCTTCTTCTAACAACTCGGCAGAACAACTCGGCAGAACAACTCGGCAGAACAACTCGGCAGAACAACTCGGCAGAACAACTCTGCACAACAACTCGGCAGAACAACTCTGCACAACAACTCCGCAGAACAACTCGGTAGAACAACTCGCAGAACAACTCGGCAGAACAACTCTGCAACGAGAACAACTCGGCAGAACAACTCGGCAGAACAACTCTGAACAACTCGGCAGAACAACTCGGTAGAACAACTCGGCAGAACAACTCGGCAGAACAACTCGGCAGAACAACTCTGCACAACAACTCGGCAGAACAACTCGGCAGAACAACTCGGCAGAACAACTCTGCAAACAACTCGCAGAACAACTCGGCTAGAACAACTCGGCAGAACAACTCTGCACAACAACACTCGCAGAACAACTCGGTAGAACAACTCGGCAGAACAACTCGCACGAACAACTCGGCAGAAAACAACTCGGCAGAACAACTCGTGCAAACAACTCGGCAGAACAACTCTGCACAACAACTCGCAGAACAACTCGGTAGCCGAACAACTCGGCAGAACAACTCTGCACAACAACTCCGCAGAACAACTCGGTAGAACAACTCGGCAGAACAACTCTGCACACGAACCGAAAAACTCGGTAGAAACACTCGGCAGAACAACTCGGCAGAACAAAACTCGGCAGAAACAACTCTGCACAACAACTCGGCAGAACAACTCTGCACAACAACTCGGCAGAACAACTCTGCACAACAAGTCCGCAGAACAACTCGGTAGAACAACTCGGCAGAACAACTCTGCACAACAACTCCGCAGAACAACTCGGTAGAACAACTCGGCAGAACAACTCGGCAGAACAACTCTGCAGAACAACTCTGCACAACAACTCGGCACAACAACTCGGCAGAACAACTCTGCACAACAACTCGGCAGAACAACTCTGCACAACAAGTCCGCAGAACAACTCGGTAGAACAACTCGGCAGAACAACTCTGCACAACAACTCCGCAGAACAACTCGGTAGAACAACTCGGCAGAACAACTCGGCAGAACAACTCTGCAGAACAACTCTGCACAACAACTCGGCAGAACAACTCTGCACAACAACTCCGCAGAACAACTCGGTAGAACAACTCGGTAGAACAACTCGGCAGAACAACTCGGCAGAACAACTCGGCAGAACAACTCGGCAGAACAACTCTGCACAACAACTCGGCAGAACAACTCTGCACAACAAGTCCGCAGAACAACTCGGTAGAACAACTCGGCAGAACAACTCTGCACAACAACTCCGCAGAACAACTCGGTAGAACAACTCGGCAGAACAACTCGGCAGAACAACTCGGCAGAACAACTCTGCACAACAACTCGGCACAACAACTCGGCAGAACAACTCTGCACAACAACTCGGCAGAACAACTCTGCACAACAAGTCCGCAGAACAACTCGGTAGAACAACTCGGCAGAACAACTCTGCACAACAACTCCGCAGAACAACTCGGTAGAACAACTCGGCAGAACAACTCGGCAGAACAACTCTGCAGAACAACTCTGCACAACAACTCGGCAGAACAACTCTGCACAACAACTCCGCAGAACAACTCGGTAGAACAACTCGGCAGAACAACTCGGCAGAACAACTCTGCACAACAACTCCGCAGAACAACTCGGTAAAACGGCAGAACAACTCGGCAGAACAACTCGGCAGAACAACTCGGCAGAACAACTCGGCAGAACAACTCTGCACAACAACTCGGCAGAACAACTCCGCAGAACAACTCGGCAGAACAACTCCGCACAACAACTCGGCAGAACAACTCTGCACAACAACTCGTCAGAACAACTCGGTAGAACAACTCGGCAGAACAACTCGGCAGAACAACTCGGCAGAACAACTCTGCACAACAACTCGGCAGAACAACTCGGCAGAACAACTCGGCAGAACAACTCGGCAGAACAACTCTGCACAACAACTCCGCAGAAAAACTCCGCAGAACAACTCGGCAGAACAACTCTGCACAACAACTCGGCAGAACAACTCGGCAGAACAACTCGGCAGAACAACTCTGCACAACAACTCCGCAGAACAACTCGGTAGAACAACTCGGCAGAACAACTCGGCAGAACAACTCGGCAGAACAACTCGGCAGAAGAACTCGGCAGAACAACTCTGCACATCAACTCGGCAGAACAACTCCGCAGAACAACTCGGCAGAACAACTCCGCACAACAACTCGGCAGAACAACTCTGCACAACAACTCGGCAGAACAACTCGGTAGAACAACTCGGCAGAACAACTCGGCAGAACAACTCGGCAGAACAACTCTGCACAACAACTCGGCAGAACAACTCGGCAGAACAACTCTGCACAACAACTCCGCAGAACAACTCGGCAGAACAACTCGGCAGAACAACTCGGCAGAACAACTCTGCACAACAACTCGGCAGAACAACTCGGCAGAACAACTCGGCAGAACAACTCTGCACAACAACTCCGCAGAACAACTCGGTAGAACAACTCGGCAGAACAACTCGGCAGAACAACTCGGCAGAACAACTCCGCAGAACAACTCGGTAGAACAACTCGGCAGAACAACTCGGCAGAACAACTCGGCAGAACAACTCGGCAGAACAACTCTGCACAACAACTCGGCAGAACAACTCTGCAGAACAACTCGGCAGAACAACTCGGCAGAACAACTCGGCAGAACAACTCTGCACAACAACTCGGCAGAACAACTCGGCAGAACAACTCGGCAGAACAACTCTGCACAACAACTCGGCAGAACAACTCGGCAGAACAACTCGGCAGAACAACTCTGCACAACAACTCGGCAGAACAACTCTGCACAATAACTCGGCAGAACAACTCTGCACAACAACTCCGCAGAACAACTCGGTAGAACAACTCAGCAGAACAACTCGGCAGAACAACTCGGCAGAACAACTCTGCACAACAACTCGGCAGAACAACTCGGCAGAACAACTCGGCAGAACAACTCTGCACAACAACTCCGCAGAACAACTCGGTAGAACAACTCGGCAGATCAACTCGGCAGAACAACTCGGCAGAACAACTCTGCACAACAACTCTGCACAACAACTCGGCAGAACAACTCGGCAGAACAACTCGGTAGAACAACTCTGCACAACAACTCGGCAGAACAACTCTGCACAACAACTCTGCAGAACAACTCGGTAGAACAACTCGGCAGAACAACTCTGCACAACAACTCCGCAGAACAACTCGGTAGAACAACTCGGCAGAACAACTCGGCAGAACAACTCCGCAGAACAACTCGGTAGAACAACTCGGCATAACAACTCTGCACAACAACTCGGCAGAACAACTCGGTAGAACAACTCGGCAGAACAACTCGGCAGAACAACTCTGCACAACATCTCGGCAGAACAACTCGGCAGAACAACTCTGCACAACAACTCGGCAGAACAACTCTGCACAACAACTCCGCAGAACAACTCGGTAGAACAACTCGGCAGAACAACTCGGCAGAACAACTCGGCAGAACAACTCTGCACAACAACTCCGCAGAACAACTCGGTAGAACAACTCGGCAGAACAACTCGGCAGAACAACTCGGCAGAACAACTCGGCAGAACAACTCGGCAGAACAACTCGGTAGAACAACTCGGCAGAACAACTCGGCAGAACAACTCGGCAGAACGTCTTGGTTTTGGAGACAATACCGCCGCTTACATCTGCCTCTGATAAAACAGGGGAGACTGAAGTACTAGCACTAATTTCCTTGCAGAGGTGAAAGACCCACCTCCCAACACTGAATGCTGATTTGCCTGGCAAAGGTGAAGAAACTCCTCCCCCCCCATACATTACAACACGCCCACAAATTAGCAAGACTGTTACACAAATAGGCCTGAAACTGACCACAAAAAGTCCACAATGACAGTCACAAGTACTGACTAATCAAACATTTCCAACAGCAATTATTAGTTAGGCTACTAGTAAAAGACAGCACTTAAATTCAACTGCCCTACAAGACAAAACCAACAGATACTATTGAATCAACTGTCCTACAAGACAATACCAACAGATACTATTGAATCAACTGTCCTACAAGACAATACCAACAGATACTATTGAATCAACTGTCCTACAAGACAATACCAACAGATACTATTGAATCAACTGCCATACAAGACAATACCAACAGATACTATTGAATCAACTGTCCTTCAAGACAATACCAACAGATACTATTGAATCAACTGTCCTACAAGACAATACCAACAGATACTATTGAATCAACTGCCCTACAAGACAATACCAACAGATACTATTGAATCAACTGTCCTACAAGACAATACCAACAGATACTATTGAATCAACTGTCCTTCAAGACAATACCAACATATACTATTGAATCAACTGTCCTACAAGACAATACCAACAGATACTATTGAATCAACTGTCCTACAAGACAATACCAACAGATACTATTGAATCAACTGTCCTACAAGACAATACCAACAGATACTATTGAATCAACTGTCCTACAAGACAATACCAACAGCTCAAATTAAATCAAATTGTATTTGCCACATGCGCTGAATACAACAGGTGTAGACATTACAGTGAAATACTTACTTACAAGCCCTTACATTTTTAAAATTTTTTCAGTCTCCTGTTGGGGGAATAGGCTTTGTTGTGCCCTCTTTTACTATTGAATCAAATAATCTACTTGCTGCTCTTGTAGGAGCTGATGTCTTTCCCAACTATAAATGACGCAAGCCAAAGTTCAGGCAGGTTTTCATCGTCCACAGAGAGGTCTGCAGTAAATCAGTCCCTCATTTCAACACAAGCTGACATCATATTCACTGGGAGGCTCACATTTCCTATGTCTCATAACCAAGCATTACAGCACCCAGCATTACATCACCCAGCATTACAGCACCCAGCATTACAGCACCCAGCATTACAGCACCCAGCATTACAGCACCCAGCATGACAGCACCCAGCATTACAGCACCCAGCATTACAGCACCCAGCATTACAGCACCCAGCATGACAGCACCCAGCATTACAGCACCCAGCATTACAGCACCCAGCATTACAGCACCCAGCATGACAGCACCCAGCATTACAGCACCCAGCATTACAGCACCCAGCATTACAGCACCCAGCATTACAGCATTGACTTCTAAGTCCAAGTTTTCAGCGTCATTCTATTCACATCCTTCCAAATGCTTCCATATGTGTAAATCTGTGTGTATTTGTATTTGTGTGTGGTGTGTGCGTGTGTGCCTTCCTGCATGTGTATGTGATTGTGTGTGTGTGTGTATGTGTGTGTGTGTGTTTTGAGTTTTTGCACACATTCCTGACATGTTTGTTATCCCTGTAGGAGCCAGAGGAGGATGACCCCTTGCCCAAGAAGAAGTGGGCGACTGTAGACGCCTCGTACTATGGAGGGAGAGGGGCTGGAGGGATCAAACGCATGGAGGTTACACTCTAAACATTATTCTGTTCATGTAGCCAATGTGGAATTACTAGCTGGTTAGCTGTGTGTGCCCTAGTAGTGTCCGTCTTGCAAGTGACACAGATTGGAGGACAGTGAGGGACAGGGACGTGTCCTCTGTAACATTCAGTACACGTGGGTTGTCTGTCCTATATTTCTGGTACTGTCTTAAACATCATGGCTTGGTTTCTCTGACTCAGAGAGCCCTGGTGCCGGATACAAATGGAGATGGAGATTCAGTGGAACACTATCAGTGGAGATGATGTCATTTTATTTCGTCTATCTAAAAAGAATGGACTTATTTTATCATCACAACCTGTGTGGGTTGTAAAAACCCCTGACTCTTTACAGTCACTTGTCTTCCCCCAACAACATTACTGAACAGTAGGGTAATGTTAATACAGTCACTTGTCTTCCCCCAACAACATTACTGAACAGTTGTGGTCCTCTGTAGCTCAATTGGTAGAGCATGGCGCTTGTAAGGCCAGGGTAGTGGGTTTGATCCCCGGGACGTAAAAATGTATGCGCACATGACTGTATGTCGCTTTGGATAAAAGCGTCTGCTAAATGGCTTATTATGTTAATAAAGTCACTTGTCTTCCCCCAACAGCATTAATGAACAGTAGCATAGTTTTAGCTATGCCTTGGCTGGTTCATGTTGATGGTAAGGCCCAGGCCTTGGCTGGTTCATGTTGACGGTAAGGCCCATGCCTTGGCTGGTTCATGTTGACGGTAAGGCCCATGCCTTGGCTGGTTCATGTTGACGGTAAGGCCCATCACTCAGAACTGGTTCCCAGAGTGTGACTCACCACTGACACACTGGATCTGGAATCATCTGGTGCTAAAATGTCACCTAGCAACATGCCCAGAACAGAACAGCCTGGACGTCTTTTGTTAAACGTTCCAGATGAGAACAAACTCAAACCCCTCGCTATACTGTAGCTCTGCCGGCCTGCCAGTGATATCAGGGGTGTGCAAAGTAAAGCGAATCTTCTGGGGTTGTGTGTGTACGGTACAGTAGGATGAGTCGTATCTGTGTGTGTGTATGTGTGTGTGTGTGTGTGTGTCTGTGTTTGTGTGTGTGTGTGTCTGTGTGTGTGTGTGTGTGTGTGTGTGTGTGTGTCTGTGTTTGTGTGTGAGTGTGTGTGTGTGTGTGTGTGTTATGATACGACAAGGAGTCCTGGCATTCTTGTCAGCTCTCTGACGGCTTTGACATGACAGGTGCTGCCATCACTCCTTCTCTCTCCTGTCGGCTTGATGTACGTCTACATCTCTCCATCTCTCCATCTCTCTCCTCCCTTCCAACTCTGGGCCTTGTTCAGCCCACTGTGTCCCTCCCTGCCTCCTTCCCTCCTTCCCTCCCTCGTCTACTACGTTCCTCGCCTGCTTGCTTTTTCTCCAAAGGGAGTAGACGTAGCTTTCAAGCTAACACGTTTAAATCCCTTGCTTCACCACCCTGTACTCCCTACCCCATATCCCCTATCCCCCATCCCCTACCCCATCCCCTACCCCCTATCCCCTTACCCCCTACCCCATGTCCCCTATCCCCTATCCCCCATCCCCTACCCCCTATCCCCTATCCCCTATCCCCCATCCCCTATCCCCTATCCCCTACCCCTATCTCCTATCCCCTACCACCTATCCCCTATCCCCTATCTCCTACCCCATATCCCCTATCCCCTACCCCATATCCCCTATCTCCTATACCATACCCCTTACCCCACCCCCTACCCCCTATCTCCTATCCACTATCCCTATCCCCCTACCCCATATCCCCTATCCCCTATCTCCTAAACCAATACCCCTCTACCCCCCTACCACCACCCCTACCCCCTACCCCCCCTACCCCCTACACCCACCCCCTACCCCACCCACCACCCCTACCCCCTACCCCCTACCCCATCCCCACTCCTAACCATACCCCTTACCCCACCCCCTACCCCACACCACCCCACCTACACCCCCTACCCCCTATCTCCTATACCATACCCCTTACCCCCTACCCCCACCTAACCCTACCCCCCACCCCTACCCCCTATCCCCTACCCCCTACCCCCTATCCCCACCCCCTATCCCTACCCCCCTATCTCCTACCCCCACCCTACCCCTACCCCCTACCCCCACCCTATCCCCTACCCCCTATCCCCTATCCCCTACTCCCTATCCCCTACCCCCTATCCCCTACCCTACCCCCCTACCCCCCCTATCTCCTACCCCATATCCCCTATCCCCTACCCCCTACCCCCTATCCCCTATCCCCTATCTCCTATACCATACCCCTTACCCCCTACCCCCCTATCCCCTATCTCCTACTAATCAGCACCGAGGACGTTGGTGGCATAGCGGGGATTTCCGAGGGCCGTGGGGGGGGAGCAATAATACCTCCAACTTTACCCACAAGTGTTGTGTCTTTGCTCAGCCACCGTCCCGTCTCACATCTCCTCTCTCCATCTCTTCATACGTCCCCTATCCACCATCTCCTCTCTCCATCTCTTCATACGTCCCCTATCCACCATCTCCTCTCTCCATCACTTCATACGTCCCCTATCCACCATCTCCTCTCTTCATAAACACCATGTTGATACTCCCAGACAGCCCTTCTCCACTTCTGAGGCTGTCTCTGTAGATCAAGGAAGAGTTTCTGTGGATCGGGGTAGAGGTGTTGTTTAAAGATCAACCTGTCATTTTCTCTATTCCTGTAAAAGGAAGCGTGTTGACTCAGAGATGTTGACGCACAATGCACATACGACCTGCAGCGATGGAATGTACAGGGAATCTTTTATTCATCAGGGTGGATAGTGTATCTGTGGGTGAGGGATATCCCATGTTGCCTTAGGTTTACAGGAAGTAGTGTGTGTGTGTGTGTGTGTGTGTGTGTGTGTGTGTGTGTGTGTGTGTGTGTGTGTGAGTCTGCGTCCCTCCATGCGTTTGTGTTTTATTCATCAGGATTGATAGACAGTTATACATCTTGTATATCTGTAGGGAGGTGTGTATTTCCCAGGTGGATGGTGATCATGAAAATCTGTTCTGTATTGTAGAGGCTTAACCTAGAGCTTGAAGAGCATGTCACTAATTAAACACTCACCTCTCTTCTGCCGTGCCGGTGGATTTACCCGGCAACAGCTGTGATGCATTTAATTAAAACAGGAAGCTTAGGGGGAAGCAGAAAAAAAGGCACTGTGGGAAAACAATAAAAACAACACCAAACCTGGTTATTCTTCAGGTTATTCTTCACGTTATTCTTAAGGTTATTCTTCAGGTTATTCTTCAGGTTATTCTTCAGGTTATTCTTCACGTTATTCTTAAGGTTATTCTTCAGGTTATTCTTAAGGTTATTCTTCAGGTTATTCTTCAGGTTGTTCTTAAGGTTATTCTTCAGGTTATTCTTCAGGTTATTCTTCAGGTTATACTTCAGGTTATTCTTCAGGTTATTCTTAAGGTTATTCTTCAGGTTATTCTTCAGGTTATTCTTCAGGTTATTCTTAAGGTTATTCTTCAGGTTATACTTCACGTTATTCTTAAGGTTATTCTTCAGGTTATTCTTAAGGTTATTCTTCAGGTTATTCTTCAGGTTGTTCTTAAGGTTATTCTTCAGGTTATTCTTCAGGTTATTCTTCAGGTTATACTTCAGGTTATTCTTCAGGTTATTCTTCAGGTTATTCTTAAGGTTATTCTTCAGGTTATTCTTCAGGTTATTCTTCAGGTTATTCTTAAGGTTATTCTTCAGGTTATACTTCAGGTTATTCTTCAGGTTATTCTTCAGGTTATTCTTCAGGTTATTCTTCAGGTTATTCTTAAGGTTATTCTTCAGGTTATACTTCAGGTTATTCTTCAGGTTATTCTTCAGGTTATTCTTCAGGTTATACTTCAGGTTATTCTTAAGGTTATTCTTCAGGTTATTCTTAAGGTTATTCTTCAGGTTATTCTTAAGGTTATTCTTCAGGTTATTCTTCAGGTTATTCTTCAGGTTATTCTTCAGGTTATTCTTCAGGTTATACTTCAGGTTATTCTTCAGGTTATACTTCAGGTTATTCTTCAGGTTATTCTTCAGGTTATTCTTCAGGTTATACTTCAGGTTATTCTTCAGGTTATACTTCAGGTTATTCTTCAGGTTATTCTTCAGGTTATTCTTCAGGTTATACTTCAGGTTATTCTTCAGGTTATTCTTCAGGTTATTCTTCAGGTTATACTTCAGGTTATACTTCAGGTTATTCTTCAGGTTATTCTTCAGGTTATTCTTCAGGTTATACTTCAGGTTATTCTTAAGGTTATTCTTCAGGTTATTCTTCAGGTTATACTTCAGGTTATACTTCAGGTTATTCTTCAGGTTATTCTTCAGGTTATTCTTCAGGTTATACTTCAGGTTATTCTTCAGGTTATTCTTCAGGTTATTCTTCAGGTTATACTTCAGGTTATACTTCAGGTTATTCTTCAGGTTATTCTTCAGGTTATTCTTCAGGTTATTCTTCAGGTTATTCTTCAGGTTGTTCTTCAGGTTATTCTTCAGGTTATTCTTCAGGTTATTCTTCAGGGTATTCTTCAGGTTGTTCTTCAGGTTATTCTTCAGGTTATTCTTCAGGTTATTCTTCAGGTTATTCTTCAGGTTGTTCTTCAGGTTATTCTTCAGGTTATTCTTCAGGTTATTCTTCAGGTTATTCTTCAGATTATTCTTCAGGTTGTTCTTCAGGTTATTCTTCAGGTTATTCTTCAGGTTATTCTTCAGGTTATTCTTCAGGTTATTCTTCAGGTTATTCTTCAGGTTATTCTTCAGGTTATTCTTCAGGTTATTCTTTAGGTTATTCTTCAGGTTATTCTTCAGGTTATTCTTCAGGTTATTCTTCAGGTTGTTCTTTAGGTTTTACGAAAGGGAGGATGGACTTTTGTTTACACCCATATAGCTATGATATATGTGGTTAGCCAATTAATTAGTTTATGAATTGTGGGTAACAATCACTCTGTATGTTTACTTTTCAGGACAGTGTAATGTTACCAAAAGTTACCAACAAAATATGTACGTTTAATTACACTTCCTGAATGAACTGAATGGGAACCTGAAATAACCCCTTGTTCCTGTCTGATGTGACCACGTTAGGTGCGTTGGGGAGAGAAGGGCTCTACAGAGGAAGGGGCGCGGCTGGAGAAGGCTAAGAATGCTGTAGTGTCTGTTCCTGAGGAGGAGGAAGAGCCCATGATGGCCAAACGGGCCCCCAAACCCACCCCCACATACCACCAGCACCCAGAGTCCAAATGGTATACCCCTATAAAGGTAGGTTCAAGATGATGTCCCAAATGGGGAGCTTATTCCCTTTTAATGATCTTGTTTTGGTCAGAGCCTGATGAGGCCCAGCCAGTTGGAGATGGCTTCCGGAAGCTTGGTTTCACTATTGTTTTCACTTCACCGATTCTATTGTTTACGTTGTGAATAGCGAAGTTGTGGATTCTATACAACTGTTAGTGACAGTATCTTTATTTTCCATTGTCTCTGATTGTGAAACATTTTACATAGATAAATACAGAGATATGCCATGAGTAAATGTTCAAGCACAGTCCTTTCTCTTCCTGTATTCAGGGTCGTCTGGATGCCCTGTGGGCTTTACTGAGGCGGCAGTATGACCGAGTTTCCCTCATGAGACCGACCACTGCAGACAAGGTAAGCCACTGCAAATAACCGCTGAGGTTCAACCCAAACCCATAACCCACAATCACATAAAACCAGCTACGAGAACCAAAACTGACTGAAACGGATCATATCATAGCCATCATCAGCAGTAGTAACGGTGATCTCTTGGCCTGTGGGGTTTCAGTCCTTGAACCACTCTACGTTATGGACCCCAGGAAGAATTGCTGTCATCATGGCTTCAGCCAATGGGGATCTGTATAAACACTAAAGATTAAGTAGCCGTTTCCCGGACACATATTAAGCCTTTTGCTGGACAATGGAGATTCTTCATTAAAAGTGCTTTTAGGCTTAATCTGTGTCCAGGAAACCGGTCCTTTGAACCGGTCCTTTGACTCCATTGAATCTCTATTGTGCAGGATAGGCTTAATCTGTGAAACTGGCCCTAGATGTACAGTACGATAGAGACAGGGTAGTGTGAGTCAGTTGTTTTAGTTTGTGAGTGTGGTTCAGAGGGAGGAAGTTGACTGGAACGTGTTGTTAGCGTTGTGTTGCTGTAACCTAATGGGGGTCAACAGCAGCTGCAAACTGGCACAGCAACAGCAACAGGATGTGATGTTTGACAGGCATGGCTCAATATGGAGAACTCTACTGAACTACTCTGAACTCTCAACAACCACATCCTCTACATCTCTCTCTCTCTCTCTCTCTCTCTCTCTCTCTCTCTCTCTCTCTCTCTCTCCTCTCTCTCTCTCTCTCTCTGTACCTCTCGCCTCTCTCTCTCTCTCTAGTCTCTCGTCTCTTCTCTCTCTCTCTCTCTCTCTCTCCTCTCTCTCCTCTCTCTCTCTCCCTCTCTCTCTCCTCTCTCTCTCTCTCTCTCTCTCTCTCTCTCTCCTCTCTCTTTTTCTTTCTCTCTCTCCCATCGACCATCAGTGTCCTGTCCTCTATGTGTTTAATTCTGGAGACCTCCTGTCTTTACCTCAGATCTAGATTGTTTGCCCATACCGTGCAGCCCTACGTGGCAGTGGGGAAATGATCTGAAATTAGTGAGGAAATTAAGAAATGGATGAATATGCAAATCAAAATTGGGTGAAGTTGAATTAACATATAAACAATCAGTGAGAGAGACCCATTGAAATCACTAGAGTGTATGTGTTGCCACCCTAGGGTCACGCACTACTAAAATACTGTGATATTTTGCCCATATCACCCAACCCTAAATAACAGTAACAGTAACAGTAGCAGTAACAGTAACAGTAGTAGTAACAGTAGCAGTAACAGTAACAGTAGCAGTAGTAGTAACAGTAGCAGTAACAGTAGCAGTAGCAGTAACAGTAACAGTAACAGTAACAGTAACAGTAACAGTAACTGTAACAGTAACAGTAACAGTAACTGTAGCAGTAGCAGTAACAGTAGCAGTAACAGTAACAGTAACAGTAACAGTAACTGTAGCAGTAACAGTAGTAGTAACAGTAACAGTAAGACAGTACAGTAGCAGTAGCAGTAGCAGTAACAGTAACAGTAACAGTACTTAGCAGTAGCAGTACAGTAAACAGTAACTGTAGTAGCAGTACAGTAACAGTAACAAGTAACAGTAGACAGTAGCAGTAACAGTAAGCAGTAGCAGTAGCAGTAGCAGTAACAGTAACAGTAGTAGTAACAGTACAGCAGTAGTAACAGTAGAGTAACAGTAACAGTACAGTACAGTAACAGTAACTGTAACGTACAGTAGCAGTAACCAGTAACAGTAACTACAGTAACAGTAACAGTAACAGAACAGTAACAGTAACAGTAAGTACAGTAACAGTAACAGTAACAGTACACAGTACTGTAGCAGTAACAGTAGCAGTAACAGTAACAGTAACAGTACAGTAACAGTAGCAGTAGCAGTAACAGTAACAGTAGAAACCCAGTAACAGTAACTGTAGCAGTAGTCAGTAACAGTAGAACAGTAACTGTAACATAACGTATAACAGTACAGTAGCAGTAGCAGTAACAGTAACAGTAACAGTAGCAGTAGCAGTCAGTCAGTAACATAGTACAGTAAACAGTAAACAGTACAGTAGTCAGTAGCAGTAGCGTAAGTAACAGTAACAGTAACAGTAACAGTAACAGTACATAGTAGCAGTAACAGTAACAGTAACAGTAACTGTAGCAGTAACAGTAGAGTAGTAACAGTACATGTACATAGCAGTAACAAGTAGCAGTACAGTACTAAGTAACAGTAACAGTAGCAGTAGCAGTAACAGTAACAGTAACAGTAGCAGTAACAGTACAGTAGCAGTAGCAGTACAGTAAGTAACAGTAACATTAACTGTAGCAGTACAGTAGCAGTACATAACAGTAGCAGTAGCAGTAGCAGTAAACAGTAGCAGTAACAGTATAGCAGTAACAGTAGACAGTAACAGTAACAGTAACAGTACAGTACAACAGTAACAGTAACTGTAGCAGTAGCAGTAACAGTAACAGTAACAGTGATACAGTAGCAGTAAACAGTAACAGTAACCAGTAACATAGTACAGTAGCAGTAACAGTAACAGTAACAGTAACAGTAAACAGTAGCTAGCAGTAGCAGTAACAGTAACAGTACAGTAACAGTAACAGTAGCAGTAACAGTAACAGTAGCAGTAGCAGTAAGCAGTAACATAACTGTAGCAGAAAGCAGTAGCAGTAGCAGTAACAGTAACAGTACAGTAACAGTAGCAGTAACAGTAACACGAAAGCAGTAACAGTACAGTAACAGTAGCAGAAACAGTAATAACAGTACAGAACAGTAACAGTATAGACAGTAACAGTACAGTAAGACAGTAACAGTAGCAGTAACAGTAGCAGTAACAGTAACAGTAGCAGTAACAGTAGCAGTCAGTACGTAACAGTAGTACGTAGCAGTAAGCAGTACACAGTAACAGTAGCAGTAACAGTACAGCAAGTAGCAGTAACAGTAGCAGTAACAGTAGCAGTAACAGTAGTACAGTACAGTAGCAGTAACAGTAGCAGTACAGTAACAGTAGCAGTAAAGTCAGTAGCAGTAACAGTAACAGTAACAGTAGCAGTAACAGTAGCAGTAACAGTACAGTAGCAGTAACGTAGATAACAGTACAGTAGCAGTAACAGTAACAGTAGAAGCGTACAGTAGCAGTAGCAGTAACAGTAACAGTACAGTAGCAGTAACAGTAACAGTAGCAGTAACAGTCAGTAACAGTAACAGTAACATAGTAAGACAGTAACAGTAAACAGTAACAGTAACAGTAGTAAAACAGGTAACAGTAGCAGTACAGTAACAGTAACAGTAACAGTAGCAGTAACAGTAACAGTAGCAGTAGTACAGTAACAGTAGCAGTAACAGTACAGTAACAGTAACAGTAGCAGTAACAGTTAAAAAAAGTACCGTAACAGTAACAGTAACAGTAACAGTAGCAGTAGAGTAACAGTAGCAAGTAACAGTAACAGTAGAAGTAACAGTAGCAGTACAGTAACAGTAATACAGTAACAGTAACAGAAAACAGTACAGTACAGTAACAGTACAGTAGCAGTAACAGTAACAGTAACAGTAACAGTAACAGTAACAGTAACAGTAACAGTAGCAGTAACAGTAAGCAGTAAGCAGTAAGTAACAGTAACAGTAGCAGTAACAGTAGAAGTAACAGTAGCAGTAGTAACAGTAGCAGTAACAGTAACAGTAAAGTAACATAGCATAGCAGTAACAGTAACAGTAACAGTAACAGTAGCAGTACAACAGTAACAGTAACATAGCATACAGTAACAGTTAACATAACAGTAACAGTAGTAACAGTCACAGTAGCAGTAACAGTAGCAGTAACAGTAAGAGTAACAGTAACAGTAACAGTAGCAGTAGTAGTAACAGTAGCAGTAACAGTAGCAGTAACAGTAACAGTAACAGTAACAGTAGCAGTAACAGTAACAGTAACAGTAGCAGTAACAGTAACAGTAGAAGTAACAGTAGCAGTAGCAGTAACAGTAACAGTAGAAGTAACAGTAGCAGTAGCAGTAACAGTAACAGTAACAGTAACAGTAACAGTAGCAGTAACAGTACCGTAACAGTAGTAGTAACAGTAACAGTAGCAGTAGAAGTAACAGTAACAGTAACAGTAACAGTAACAGTAGCAGTAACAGTAACAGTAGAAGTAACAGTAGCAGTAGCAGTAACAGTAACAGTAACAGTAAATGTAGCAGTAGCAGTAACAGTAACAGTAACAGTAGCAGTAGCAGTAACAGTAACAGTAACAGTAGCAGTAACAGTAACAGTAACAGTAGTAGTAGTAACAGTCACAGTAGCAGTAACAGTAACAGTAACAGTAACAGTAACAGTAACAGTAGCAGTAGCAGTAGCAGTCACAGTAGCAGTAACAGTAGCAGTAACAGTAACAGTAACAGTAGCAGTAACAGTAACAGTAACAGTAACAGTAACAGTAGCAGTAACAGTAACAGTAGAAGTAACAGTAGCAGTAACAGTAACAGTAGCAGTAACAGTAGCAGTAGCAGTAACAGTAACAGTAACAGTAACAGTAACAGTAGCAGTAACAGTAGCAGTAACAGTAACAGTAGCAGTAACAGTAACAGTAGAAGTAACAGTAGCAGTAACAGTAACAGTAACAGTAACAGTAGCAGTAACAGTAACAGTAACAGTAGCAGTAACAGTAACAGTAACAGTAACAGTAGCAGTAACAGTAACAGTAACAGTAAAAGTAACAGTAACAGTAGCAGTAACAGTAACAGTAACAGGTACAGTAACAGTATAATTTAGCGGAATATACTCCGAAGACTAGGAGGTGCTGAGTTTCTCTGTCTCTCTCTGTCTGTCTGTCTCTCTCACTCTGTCTGTCTCTCTCTGTCTGTCTGTCTCTCTCTGTCTGTTTATCAGTCTCTCTCTCTTCCTCTAGCTCAATCAACCTCATCAGAAAGCACTGACTTATTTTTTATTACAATCACTGAAAAAATATATAAACTCAACATCCAACACTTTTACTGACTTACAGTTCACATAAGGAATCAGTCAATTAAAATAAATTAAT